TAGTCTCTGCAGAGACTAAAGGGGACCAGAAATAATTTTAAAAAAGTAAAGTAAAAAGTCTGACCGAGAGCGAGACGAGAACGAAGACGACCAAACCAGATAGTTTGTTAAACATACTTTATTTGGCAGTTCCGCTGCAAATACTGTGACGTAATAGTTCAGAAAACGTCACAGAAAACAGAAAAAAAACTGAACGGGTTGAAAAATATGACCCAAAGAGAATTTAAAGATATTAACGCAACGCCAGGAGACCAAATTAAAATTTTCTGCACTCGTAGAGACTCCAAGTACACGATAAAATGCATTTAATGGCTAAAAAGTTGAATTTTGTCTGRTATGTCCCTTTTAACAGTGTAGATGATGTAACTGGTTCTGAGACAAACTAGAAAACGACTTTCTTTCAACTTCGTCACACAGTATATAAAATAGAAGCACAGCACTTTACATATTATAGCTTCAAATGAATTAAACTTGGGCACGATGGCACAGTTAGAGTTGTCACAGATCAGCAAAAAGGACACAAATTCTCCTCTTGGCCTGAGACCTTTCTGGGTGGAGGTTGCAGGTTCTCCCCTCGTATGGGTTTTCTCTGCATATTTCAGTTTCCTCCCACAGAGCAGAAACATGCATGTTTGATTATTCTGTAACTCTAAATTGTCCCTAGGTGTGAGTGAGACCATGAATTACTGTTTGCATCACTTGTGTCCCTCTGACGGACTTGTGACCTGCTCAGGGTGTAACCCACCTCTCTCACAGTGATTGCTGGAAATAGGTATTGGCCCAGAAAGGAAACAGCAGTTAAAGATGGATGAATTAAATTTTATCAAGACGTTCCTTCTACTTCCCATACCATTCATGTCCTCTAAATATAGTTCTTGTAAATCTGTCAGAACGTTTCTGTGCCAGAAGACTTACCCTTTCAGATGTGTCCACTGGTCAACGATTCCTGCCTGGAGCAAGTGTTTGAGCTCTATCCAAAAAACGTTAAAAAAATAAAAGATAAATAAAACTAAAAACTAAAAAACCATCCAGGCTTCTGTTCTGAAGATTAAGATGTTTCACCTTCCGTTCAGGACGCTTTCTCTACTTGAAATGTCTGTAGTAGTGTGGAGTTCCAAGCTTTATAGACCTGCATTCACATGCAGAGTAACCTGAAACTACTCACCTCTCACAATGGAGGGTCATGAGGCTCTTTGTTTACCTGGCTGACATCAGACGTGTCTCTGTCACATGATGAAGGTGTGAACTGTGGTGAAACTGACACTGTGAAATGCAACAAGTTGACTTTACTTAAAAAATGTTTGCACACTTTAAAATGCAATAAATGGACTTTGCTTAAAAACGTATGCAAACACATTGTCTGAAAAGAATACATTTTGAAAACATGAAACATGTAAAGTWATGTCACCAACAACAATACATTTATTTATCTAGCCATATGGGGAAAAAAAACACGTTCCCATCAAAACTTTAAAATTTTCAGCACTGAAATCAATTTCACAAATATTTCAAACTTCTTGAAAGAACAGCAGCAGTGGATGTGGGCCGGAGTGTTTCCTTCTTCCTCGGGGAGAACAGTCAGCACTCCAAGACTTCTTCTTTTCTGGCATCCTACAAATAACCAGACTTGTAAAACTTTAAAAAAATTAACTGCCAATACCTTGGTGGTTTACCGTTGGTCACTTCTTTACTCCATTTGAATTTCTCCTGCATAACAGAAGCACGCATTAAACAATAAAACTTTTTAAATGAATTAATTGCAGCATGCTTTAAGTCTGAACAGAAAATTTACAGTGAGTCATCACTAAGTACCACGAAGGCCTTTAAGGACAAGTATTWTAGCCTACATTATGACATCAAAGCTCAAGCGGTTGTATTAAAACATAAGGAACAATTTTTGCATTTCGTCCACAAATATCAAGTAACATAACCACACTTGCTTTTTGTTTGATTTTGCAGGTATCAAATTGTACTGGTTAATCATCAACAAGGACTAATTAATAGTTGCGATATTTAAAGTGTCTAACATGCCTGCTTATATTTTAGACTCCAGTGAGAGGATAAATGTGAAAAATTCCTCTTTGTCTTTAGAAAAATAAATGAATATCTGGCCAAAGTAGTAGGGAGGTTCTTTCAAGATAACTTTACTGCTGTGACTGACTTAAAACATGACACTGCCTTGCTGATTCATGTTGTTTAGTACAAAATAAAAGTTTAATGTTATCAATAGAAACACMCTTTTATGTTAAATGACTATAAAGTCAAAAATGTAGCAAACMTTGTCCTTATACAACCCCTGGCAAAAAGTATGGAATCACCAGTTTTTGGTGAACACTCATTCAGACATTTCACTCTGTAAAACAAACTCCGATCAAAAACATGATACAATAATAAGGTCATTCCAAAGTGCAACTTGTTGGCTTTCAGGAACACTCAAAGAAATGAAGAGAAAACATTGTGGAAGTCAGTGARTCTTACTTTTATTGACCAAGCACAGGGAAAAAATATGGACTCACTCAATCCTGAGGAAAACAGTACGGAATCATGAAAAACAGATAAACAAAAGACCATTCAAAATACATCACTAGTATTTAGTTGCACCACCTTTGGCTTTTATAATGGCTTGCAGTCTCTGAGGCATGGACTTGATGAGTGACAAACAGTATTCTTCATCAATTTCAGAAGACCGGCTATTCCGAGACCGAGACCAAGACCGAAGCCAAATGTTTAGAGTTTAATAAATATTTCAGTACATTGTTTTTTTACACCACAAAATGCAAAACCTAATGGAATTAATCAACCAAAACTGCTCCTTGCTTTTAAACTAATAACTGTAGAAATAAACTAATATTAAAGTTATTAAATGCAGCGTTACATTGATACACATTCTCCAAATGGAATTCATCAGCTTATTTTCCACAATTGTATGAAAAATTAAAACAGCGAGTGTAATAAAGATTTGCCATATTCACAAATATTAAAAACTTAATCAATCAAGTTTTTTTGTATATCACATTTCAGCAACAAGGCAGTTCAAAGTGCTTTACACAAAAAAACTACAAAATTAACAGTTGAATCATTACAGTTTGTCAGGTGTCATTGTTACACATCGACATTTTTATTAATGTTTCATTTATAATGTCTTATAAGCAACTCTAAACAGGTGGGTTTTTCAGTCTTGATTTAAAGGATCAGAGTTTCGGCTGTTTTACAGTTTTCTGGGAATTTGCTCCAAATTTGCAGAGCATATAAAAGCTGAATGCTGCTTCTCCATGTTTGGTTCTGGTTCTGGGGATGCAGAGCAGATCAGAACCAGAAGACCTGAGAGGTCTGGAAGGTTGATACAACAGCAGATCTTAAATGAGTTGTGGTTCTAAGCCGTTAAGTGATTTACAAACTAATAACAGTACTTTAAAGTCTATTCTCTGAGTTACAGGGAGTCAGTGTAAGGACTTTAGAACTGGGCTGATGTGCTCTATCTTCCTGGTTTTACTCAAAATGCAAGCAACAGCATTCTGGATCATCTGCAGCTGTCTGATGGATTTTTTAGGCAGACCTGTGAAGACACTGTTGCAGTAATCAATGTGACTAAAGAAAAACACATGGATGAGTTTCTCTAGATATTGCTGAAACGTTGGTCCTTTAATCTTGGAAAGTTCGGGACATTGTTCAAATGTTTCAAAAAATGTGTGCTGAAAAGTGGCTCTAATACTTTTTACCTGATTATAAAACTTAATAGAAAGATTGCCAATATTACGGGTTAGGGTTGTATTTTTATTAATATTGTTATTAATTTGGGCAGAATAATCGATGAATAGAGGTCGGAACCTTGTTGTGGAGCATTTATTTTTTTATTTTCACCACAGGTTTTCAGTTGGGTTGAGATCTGAACTACTTGCAGGCCATGACATTGACTGAATGTGTCTTTCTCCAAGGAATGCCTTCACTGTTTTTGCCCTATGTTGATGCGTTGTCATCTTGGAAAATTATTTCATCACCACCAAACAAATGTTCAATTGAAGGGATGAGAAAATTGTCCAAAATATCAATGTAAACTTGTGCATTGATAGAAGAATTAACCACAGTCATCTCTCCAGTACATTTGCCTGACATGCAGCCCCAGACTTACTTTTTGTCTTGCTGACACCAAAACCTGGATGTCTGGCAACTATCTTTTACTCAATAATGACAAAACAGAGGTGATAGTGTTTGGGCCAAAGACCAAAAGGGATCTTGGTTTTTCTAAACATTTTAAGAACATAACGAAAACAGCCCTTTTCCAAATTCGGAACATTGCTAAAATCAGAGATTTTATTTCTTTCACTGATGCAGAAACTCTAATTCATACTTTTGTTTCCTGCCATCTTGATTATTGTAACTCTTTGTTTTCTGGTCTGCCTCAAATTTCTCTCAATCGTCTTCAATTAATACAAAACACTGCAGCTAGAGTTCTTACACGATCCCATAAATATCAGCACATCATTCCAGTTCTGTCCATTTTGCATTGGCTCCCTGTGGTTTTTAAAATCGATTTTGGCTATAGCAGAGTAGGGGCGGTTTGAGTGTCCTGGATGGATAGAAAAGTGCTTTATAAGTACAGTCCATTTACCATTTTCAAAATTTTTTGTTTGTTTTTAAATCTTTTAATGGTCTTGCGCCTTCTTATCTTTCTGAGCTTCTTAACCCAAATACCATCTCGTCACCTCAGATCAGTTAATCAATTACTCCTTTCCATTCCCAGAGCTCGACTGGTGACAGAAGGAGAGAAGGCTTTTATGGTCGGGGCTCCCAGTGTGTGCAATGCACTTCCACTAAATATTAGACAAGCCACGTCATTGTTTTCTTTTAAATCTTTACTTAATACTTACTTTTTTAATAAGGCTTTTAATATTTGATAATGCTTTTGTTTGTTTTTGGTTTTATTGTTATTGATTTGGTATATTTTGTTTCATGTTGTCTTTGATGTTTAACTTATTTTTCAATGTAAAGCACTTTGTAACATTTGTTTAGAAAGGTGCTATACAAAAAATGTTGTTGTTGTCATCGTCGTCGTCATCAAGGACTGTGGAAATTTGGTTGTTTTCTTCAGGCAGTCCTCTTCATAAATCTCAATGGAACAACACCAAACAAAAGTTCCAGCATCATCACCTTGTCCAATGCAGATTCTTGACTCATCACTGAAGATAACTTTCATCCAGTCATCCACAGTCCATGATACCTCTCCTTAGCCCATTGCAGTCTTGTTCTTTTTTGCCTAGTAAAAAAGTATAGATATAGTATCTATACTTCTACTTAAGTAATGAATGTGAATACGTTTGACACCTTTGTTTTTTGCTTAGTGGGCCTCATGCAAGAACATGTTCATATTCTTATCCTAAATTTCTCTTACTTTTGTTCGTACGAAAGGTTCGTACAAACATGTCATGTCAGATTCAACAAACTCTTCTATCTTCAGGAAAAGTGTGTAAACAAGCTGCGTAAACATGATGAATTACACCTGTTCGTATCCAGCTGGTCGTGCACAAGAAGAGGAGATTAGCATAATGTGAACAAATCTGTGTGTATGAACAATTCTTGCATGAGGCCCAATGATGGTTTTCTTTTAGCTTTCCTGTATTGAAATCTCATTTCCTTTAGGCGATTTCTTAYGGTTCRRTCACATACATTGGCTCCAGCTTCCTCCCATTTATGCTTCATCTGTTTAGTTGTACTTTTTCGGTTTTCAAGACAAATGGCCTTATGTTGTTTGTCTTGACGCTTTGATGTCTTTCTTGGTCTACCAGTATGCTTGGCTTTAACAACCATTCCATGCTGTATGTATTTGGTCCATTTCTTGGATACAGATGACTGTGAACAGCCCACATCTTTAGCAATCATGCGTGAAGAGTTACCTTCTTCAAGAAGTTTCACAATCCTCTCTTTTATTTCAAGAGACATTTCTCTTGTTGGAGCCATGGTTCTTGCCACTCCACTTCATCCAGCAGCCCTCCAAGGTGTCATGGCTGCAGGTGTTTTTAACTGCAGACTAACGAGCAGATCAAATCTGAGGCAGGTGTCCATTTAGAGAAAGGAAATTGACTGGATGTGTCCTTATTGTCTACCTCCAGTTTGAGTGATTCCATATTTTTCCCCTGCTTGGTCAATAAAAGTAACATTCACTGACTTCCACAATGTTTTCTCTTCATTTCTTTGAGTGTTCATGAAAGCCAACAAGTTGCACCCTGGAATGACCTTATTATTGTATCAAAATTTTAATCTGAGTTTGTTTTACAGARTGAAATGTCTGAATGAGTGCTCATCCAAGACTGGTGATTCCATACTTTTTGCCAGGGGTTGTAAATGGAAGAGGCCAGAGCCTGATTACAGGAACTTTTCAAAATGTTAACAATGGCAGCAAACTGGCATCAACTAACAATAACACAGAAATTTATGTACACAAAGAACAAATATGTACTTACCGAATGATATAGGCTGATGATGAAAATAACCACAAGTTCTGAGATGTGTTCAGAACCAGGCATTAATCTCTTTGGTTAGCAGGTATGCTAGTAGAGCAGGAAATGGAGTAAAGTTGATCTGAGCATGCCCAGAAAGTTAGGCGTTAACTCTTTTCAATCCTAAATCCCCAACACTTTTCAATACTTAACTTTTTTTGAGTGGACTTAACTTAAATATTTTAAGTTATCAAGCATTTTCTATCCAAAAGTTTACATCACTTAATTAAGATGAGTATAACAAACAAGTTGGTGAAATTTAAGTTAGCTTAACTTGATTTTTTTTAGTAAACAGAACACAGGAATCAGATTTAATGAAGTACTGAGGGTTTTTGAAAGTTGAAATCTGTCTTTTGGGTTGTCTTTTGTTTAGTTTTCTGTGTTTTTGTTTATTTTATTATCTCTAATGTTTCAGATCTTTATATTTTCCTCAGTCAGCCCCTCAATACTTTTCTATCCAGTCTGCCACTCTCACCTCCATCAGCTCAGCTGGGCACCATAGCCCTAGCTCTGTATTATCGGTCTCTTTTCTCCACCTCCTTGCTGGATCATCATGCCACTTTCCTTGTGTTTTCCTCCATGTCACCACCTATCTCATTGTCAGCTTTTTGTTTTGTTTGTTTAATAAAGTGTTTTATTTTCTCTTTACCTTGAGTCCTCCTGTGATTCTGCAACCTGGGTCTGATCCACCATACACCCTTACAAACCTCTTCTCAAACTTTCTATCTTTTTTGTCCAAAATATGAACATTTTGATCCGTCTTAGGGTCCTGTTGGATTTAATACTTACCGAGATCTTGATGAAAGAACAGAAATGAGTCCTTGACATATGCCCACAAGACTCATGCCCTCATAGTGACAAAAATAAACACAAAGAAAAGCACACAGAATTAATTTTTTTTTAGTAGCAACACATTGCATCACAAAAATAACACATAAGATTTATATCAAATTATCATGCATTATACATTGATCACATTATAAACGTAAGCATATTGTATGAGATTAAAAATACTCCTTGATATTTTTATGCCAAATTGCCAGGCATACTTCAGTCAGATGCTTTCCCCAAGCCCTGGTGCAGATTTTTGAGGCTCCATTTGATGATATTGCTTTGTGCTTTTAAATTGTCTGTCCTAAGGTACTAAGTGAACACTGTTAAAAAGATCTGCTCAAAGAAACTCACCTCCTAACATGTAACTGCTCAGTTTTGCTGTAAAATATCAATGAAAAAGAAGGTTAGAAGGTGAGAACTGAAATCAAACTCAAACAATTGCATATATCATGCACTGTAAAAAATGAAATGTTGAATTTACTTAACCATGTTATGTTACCTGGTTCCACTTGACTGAGATGAGTAAATTCAAATCAATATACCAGTTTTTTTTTAGCCAAAGAACATGAGTATGTTGCTTTGAATTTACTCAACTCAGTTAAGTGGAACCAGGTAACATAACATGGTTAAGTAAATCCAACATTTCATTTTTAGAGTGTGCCTTAGGTGTTTTGAAATTTGAAAACATTGTGAGCTTTCGTCTTGTGAGTTTTTGTACGTACACCAACAGAAACACTACAGACATTCTCCAAACCTGTCCTGACAGGGCTTTTACCAAATCAGCAAAGAAATCTGAAAAACAGAACAGAACAGGCAGAGGAGCAAAAACATCATCCCATGTTACCAGAATATCTGGAAAACTCAAAGGGATCTCAGTACATTTTAAACCCAACAGGACGCTCTTGTCCAGAACTCCCAAATCCAAGTTGAAGAAATGAAACAACCTTTAGACGCATGGCCTAACACAGGTAGCTCTAGCTGTGCATCTACATCTCAAGGATAAAAACCAAAAATTCATATTTTGAAAGATGTTATGTCAAACAAATAATTCCAGTTTAATCTGCCTTTGAATCTAAACACTATCATCATCCTCATTAATGAGTCACTTCTCCATCAATTCCATTAATCTGCAGGGCTTTAATTAGATCAAGGCCCAGTAGTACCAGTGATCAAGTTTACACTGTAAAGAACGATTTTGAAATGTTTTTTTATTTGCTACATATGTTGTGTCTTGTGGCAGCCAATGATTGGTAGGTATCGGTCACAAACATTGGGTTCTGTCAGTGAACATTGTACACAATGTTGCTTGCAGTTTCTGTTGACAAAGGCTCCACTGTTTCCAGTTAAATCCAGGACACGGGGTTTTTCCTGCCGTCCTGCAGTGTTGATTTGGCAACTGATTTTATCAAACGTTGCAGCCTAACAATGTTGACACACATCATTACCAGCCCATGACCACTGACTTCACTCAATACAACCAYGTGATTTGCATTCTTTGGTCCCTTTTTCTTGCAGTTATCACAATTTACCTCAGCCACAGGACAGATTTTCTTTAAACGTTAACAATGTGTTTATCTGATCCATACATGACACAACAATGTTATCACTTGCCTGTTGAACATAAGATAGAGGTCCATGTGTTTGAGCTATTTGTCTTCCTCTTTTCCCACAAAAACTCAGATTTACTGTGTCTACAGTCTGTACAGGTGCAGGTGCTGAATTCAGAACTGAGAGCAATGCAGAGATTCTTACCTGCGTTCACTTGGCGACGGTGACATGTTGTGATTTCATCGACATGTTGCACACATTGTCTTTGCACCCCGACACAGTTACTTGATAAAATGTCTTTCAAGTGCAGTCATGGTATCATCAAACCTTGCACCTTGTTCTTAGCGTGTAGAACCGATGCTGTCCTTCTGGACCTGAGCAGTGTGATAAAACAACACAGTCTTGCCTTCAGCCATTTGTTTGCTCAAGTCTTTTTGACGAGCATGTAATTGTCAAATCTTTGCTGCCATGTTGTAAATGTGATGGAGGCCGACCAGCGTGATGCAGCAAAGGTAGAAGACTTACTCCTCATTGCCAATTTTGTGTGACAGTTTTTAAAAACGCTGGCCAAGTTTTTTTGGTTTTAATGACATTTAACTTTAGGAAGTAGTAGTCACATCACTCCACAAAGTAATCCACTAAAAACCTGAGGAGCGTCTCCACCCTAAAGCAGATAAATTAACACGCGGGACGAGAGGCGAACTTGTTAATGACAACAGCTTTTGAGAAGCGACAATATTTCCTGTGTTTTAAACTCACAATATCCACTTACCAAACCTGCATTGAGTTTAAAAATGGAAAGTTTATTTGCTAAAATGTGGACTATATTTGCTTAAAAAAAGGGAGATAAGCTGTTTTTAGGACTAAACATCATTTACCATCAGAGGCAGTTTCTAAAATTAAAAAACAAAAAACAAAATATCAAACCTATGAGATGTAAGAAACAGTTTTATATTTGTCAATTTGTTTGTATTTTAATACTTTACATAGATTATAAATTCCTATATCCATAATAGTTGTTTAACACACACACTCACRCATCCAATATGATCATCTGATAGAACAGTGAAACTTTTTCATGTAAATTCATCTTTTTTATTCAATTATTTTAAAAAGCCTTATTTGAAATACTGCTAAAAAACAGCAACTAATTTAAAAGCTAGTTTAATTTGTGCTTGTCATTTTTTTAAGCTCATCATTTGATATTTTACATTATGAGACAAGACTGTTTTTTTTTTAGCCACACAATTTGTTTTACTTTTTTACTAATAGTTTTGTGAATGCTTAACTGAAAGGCTTTAACTGACAAAAATACTTCAGGGACACACATACAACTTCTCACTGTCAGTGCAAAGAGTTATATTTAGTTTGTCACTGTCTGCATACAAAATGTGTTTAACAAGACATTATTTAGGATGTTGTTTACTCATTGATAACGAAACATGTTTTTTATTTTTATTTTTTTAATTAATCAGATTTCAGGGTGTTTTTGACAGGATGTTTTTGGTCTAATGAGCCACTGCAGAGCACAAAAGGGGGCGCTGTTGAGGCAGAAACCCTGACTGACAGCTTCCTCTCCCTCTCATCCTGACAGTTTCATTGAACCCACATGAGACAGAAATGACAACAGAGTGACTGCAGGTTTTACTTACTGACTGAAGAGGACAGATGAATCACCGTATCGCTGTTCAGATCAGCAGTTCATCGCTTCTTCCGCGATGCTGATGAGTATCAGGGAGGGACAGAGCTTTGAGATGAAGTTAAATTTTATTTCCATAAGGCTTGTGGGAAAATGAGTGGAGGAAGTCAACATGAAACAGTTTAGAAGTGATCAGAAGGATGGATCAAACAAGAGGCAGGTTGAAACGCCTCAACCCTGGAAAAGATCCAATCCTCAGCTGAAGCTGAAATAAAAACCTGCATCAAACTTAAATCTTTGAATCATGAAACACATTAAATCTTTTGCTAATGACAAATTCACTGATTGTCACTTTTTTTGTCACTGCAAAGGACAAATCGAACAACTAAAGAAACAAACATTTGCGCTCTTTAGAAGCAGAAAAAATGCACAATTATTTGCATTTCTTTACATGTCGTCTCTGAAAAGGAGTAAAAGTTAATTGTACGATATAAAGTATGATGTTAACGGTTTCTGGATGGATAATAAACATTTAAGGGTCTCAGATCTGTGGCTGGCATGGAGTTAGTTATATTTAATGAATCAGTTTTTGCTCATTTTTTAAAAWTTTTTTCATTGTAGGTGGCTGAATTTGCAACTTAATTTCCAAAGATTACAGAAATTGTTCACTCCGCATCAACTTATATTTTGCCGCCTTTTGGTATAAAACTAATGCTCAAATCCAGTCAAAACAGCTCCGATTAACCAGAATAGTAACAAACTGCAGCGGTAGATAAAAAAAATAGCCATTTCTCAGGTTCCAAACTGAATTAACCTCTGAAAACATTTTATTTTTAAGAGTTGCCCCAATGATCTAAAAATTAAACTAGATTTTCTAGATGCAAAATCTAAACAGCAACAATTCACAGAACTTGTGTACATTTCTCCAGATAATATTTAAAGTAAGAAAGCAGCTCAGATCAGGTGAGGAGGGAACGCTGAATGAATTCCTCTCAGATCTGAAAAATGTTAGAACTTTTATTCTCACACAGTATTTGGGTCATGTCAACAATAGCAGATCTTTTCAAGAGCATGCTTAAAAAAATCAAAAACTAAACAAAAAAAAAAMMRRAAAAAAAAACACCCCCTTATGGAGCAAAAAGCAGACACTTTCATTCAACAAAAGCTATTAAATATCATTTATAGGGGAGTGAAATCTTCCACCGAAGACATGGATSAAAAACACAAGCTGAAAACTTGTCTGCCTTATGATTATAGACAGTGAATCCAAACTTGTGAACTTTTCCTTGGTCCCAAAATGAACTCGTTTAATAAACTTTATATTTACACAGAAATGTGCTACACAGACCAGCAAAAACTACTGTCAGGATGGAGAGGGTTAGAGGAAGCTGCAGCTCATGGCGCACTTTAACTATGACTGTATTGCACTAACTGTTAACTGGATGTGTACAGTTTCAGGTGAGAGCAGGAGGTGTTACATGTTCCTCGTGTCCTCTCTTTTGACGTGGTCCAGCGTCTTGTCGTGGCACTTGCTCTTTTTGTTCTGGTGCGTTTTGACGTGTTTGGCCAAGTGGTCACTCCTCATGAACCTCTTGCAGCAGTCCGGACAAACAAAGCGCTTCTCCCCGGTGTGAGTCCTCAGGTGTCTCTGCAGCTCGTCCGAGCGCGTGAAACTTTTGCCGCAGAACAGCCAGTTGCACACGAACGGCCGCTCCCCGGAGTGCCACCTCAGGTGCGCCTTCAGGTGCGACGTCTTGCCGTACACCTTCCCGCAGCCCGGGATGTGGCAGATGTGCTGCTTCTTCTTGCCCGGCTCGTCGCTGGAGGCGGACGACTGGCAGTTCGGACACCGGCACCGCCTGCACCTGCGCGCGGTCGCCAGCGGGGACTTGGTGTGCAGCAGGGCGGCGATTTGCGTCTGGTACTGCGCGAAGTCCGAGTGGCCCAGGACCAAGCTCCTCTGCAGCTGGAAGCGGTGGGGACCCAGAGGGGATGAGTGGCCCACGTGATGGTTTCCCTGCTGGAGGCTCCACCACGGGATCTCCTCCCCTGCGCTCGGGGACAACTGTCTCTGCTGCTGGTGGACAAGTCCGGAGGGGCCCACGAAGCTCGGCATGGCGGGCGGAATGGGGGTCGGCGCTGCGTAACTGACAGCCGGGACGTAGGTCGGAGGACAGGTAGACTGCATGGAGCAAGGTAACATCTTGACGGGGGAGAAGTCATAGGGGTAGGAAGGGTCCGCCGGAGGGGTGAGGGGCAGCTCGTGGTGGGAGCTGAAGGAGCTCTGGATGTGCGCAGACAGCTGAGGCTTGGCGGATAGTCCGAACGTGGAGTTGGTGGCCAGGCTGCTTTGGGGGGCCCCGTCATTAGTCCACGGGTGAAACAAACGCGAAGGGGAGCCCAGAGTGGGGTCGTAGGGGACCTGGAGGAAGTCTGGAGGGTTGGATCCCGGGTGATGCCCGATCCGGTTACAAGTTGCAGCCAGGAGAGCCAGCGGAGAGTGCTTACAGTTCTCTGGAGACGAGTTGGGAGTGCGGTCCTGGAGAGCAGAGACACAAATCAACAATCAAAAATAATACCAAACTAAAAGTCTTTCATTTTGCATCCAATCGCGGATAAATAAGACAAAAAAATAGTATAAAAGTTGGAGAAGTTTTGCAGGAAACGCACAAAGAATCGATCAAACTAGAGTTAACCATTAGAGCCCCCCTGCACCGACCAGGCGCCTAAATGAAAAATAAATTAACACGTTTTTAAAGTTAATAAAGTGTGTTAAACTTGCACAAACCTGGAGAAAAGCGTGCAGGGTTTCATTCCGCAGAACAGCCACCGCTGCCATGATGAACGTCCTCCTCCTCACAGGGTTTATAGAAAACAACTAATATCAACAACAAATATTTTTTAGTGAAAAATGTGGAAAAAAACAGATCGTCGCGCAGGCTCTCCGGTGCCTCCTCTCTCCGATATATCCTCGGTGTATCTGAAGAGTGAGGGATCACTTCTTAGAATTTGATAAGGACTTTGGTGGGCCGCCAGCCAGTCAGAAATAAGATTTATTACTTTGAAGTTTGCCGCTGCCCAATCATCAAAGAATAGCGGCTCTTTGAGAGGGGAAAGCAAATCCTTTGAATCCACAAAGCTCCTATGGTGTGTTTGTTGGTCTGGATAAAGGAGCTGATTATTAGGGGGGTTGGGAAGGGAGGAGATAAAGGCGGGACAATTAATGAAGTAATCACTATGTGGGAAATGTATATACACAAATAATTGGATTTTCTCGATCAAAGACCTCCGTGCCGCCTGGAGACCCCGGTATTGGATGCTGTAGTCATCTGATCCTCTTTTTGTAATTAAGGATTTGTAGCAGAACCTTATGTGACAATGTGACATTGTTATCTCTGGAGATCTCCAAGAGGCTGTTTGATGGGGAGAGAGGAGACCAAATCAAGTGACTCAACACAAAGTTCTCATCTCTGAAGGATCTGTGCCTCTTTTACATTTCTAATTTGAATTGAAATTTGGCTTTGTTGTGCCTTTCAACCACAGCTTGGCATTAAACACTTAATTATACCCTCTCTGAATTATTTAAATACTTATTTCCCCCCCATCTTCAACTATTTCAATCAGTTATTTTATCAGAAGCTCACTCTTTCCTTCCCTTTAAGCAATAAAATTGGCTCTGTTGACGAACCCACAGAAAAACACCCAGCAGTGCAGGTGAAGATCCTTTAAAGTCCTTATTGCAAAAATGAAAAACATAAAATAAAGGCAATACTGAGCTATATCAAATGGAACAGTTTGAAAGAGTTTACTTCTCTAGCTTTCCAGTTATGTTAATATAGGATACTGAAATGCAGGTACGCATTAAATGTAAATAAAGCACTTTCATCTGCAGACTTTAGCCAACAAATCTGAGCTTAAATACGCACCGGTACGTTAAAACTATCAAACATCTCAATTCCAAATGGCTCCTCCATGGATGTTGTCATTGTTGACCTGTTTTCAGTCACTTTGGAGGTTTTCAAAGGTAAACACACATGTGGTAATTGGTAACTGGTCACAAATTCTGCTTATTAATTTCAAATTTAATAACATAAGCAAAAAAAAGTGTTGATTTTTTTTTCTTACTTTACCTTTTTCATGACATTGCAACAAATACTTTTAATGTTTAACCTGGACTTTAAATGTCTTAATGCAGAAAAATAACGTACAAAGTACCACAACCAAACAAAACTGCAGCGAATCGTTTAAGTAATGTTTATCAGTGCTGAAATAATGTGTCATACTGTTTAATGAAGGCAAAACTATGCATCTTTCAAAAGATAATGTCCCAAACTTTKATTCTTTTTTTTATTTTGGCAAAAATGATAAAGTTGCAGTTCAGCTCTGTGATCTTTATCTGGCTTCCCTGCAGAAACAATCACTGTCCTCTCAACTATAGTTTGGAGCGGCAGATTTTGAATTAGATCTGTTCCTTTGAAGGGATTAATGTTCCCAGTCCTCTCCCACGGCTTTAGTCATGAGGGAAAGGGGGAGTCCTGCTGGGCTGAACTGGAGCCATGTTAAAACTACAACGCTGGCTGTGGGAGAGATGTAGTCACATCCAAAAAAAAAAAAAAATAAAAATAAAAATCACTGGAGATTAACCTTGTTTACATCAAGTTATAGCAGCTGTAGTGACTGATTTTGTCTTATTAAAAGTGTAGGAGATTCAGCAAACATAAAGATTCCTGCTTGAAAAATGCTTTTTAAAATGATGAATTTTTAGTTTTGTGTGCAGAAGTCACTAACATAAATTAAATAAACGAGTCACAGTACAGGATGCTTTGCAAATGTTATAATAATTTACCCGCCAACAAAACCCCTTTTTATGTAATCTTATTAATGGGACCAGTTGTTTCTCYGCACAAGTTGTACTTTACTGATAATTTGACACACAATGTCTCAAAAGAGCAAAAAAAAAAAAAAAAGGTTACTTATCATAGTCATGTCGGCATCATGTGAAGAAGTCCATTCCCCATAATGTTTTTGTTCATTTTTTTTCTTTTTCAGTATTGATAAGTGTAAATTGTTTTACAAGAAAGTRAGCTAAAATTACAAAAAGGAAGCAAAACAGCAAAAAATGTTACCTTCACAAATTTTTGCATTGTTTGAAATATTTTTTAAAGCAGTATAACTTGTTAAATCTCTTAAAACCTATATCTCTCAGAACTAAAAGATGCAGGTCTTCTTTAAAGTGGTCTCCACCCTGAATTTGTATGATTGGCCTAATTTAACGAGTCAGTAAGGTAAGCAAGCTAAAAGATAAATAGATTTTGTTGTCCAGACTTTGACATGTATTTAGGAAAGTTTTGGTTATTAAATACAGAATAACAGTAAACATAGATGTCTTCTGGTTGCGTTTTGTCAAAATATGGTGCGATGAGCATTAAACAGCATCTCAACAATGTGCAAACAGTTTACATTGCCTAAAAGTGTAATATAGGTCACTACCTTAAAGATATAAGAAAAACACAATTTAAAGGTTCAAAATGTTTTGTTTTTGTAGCATGAATTTAATTTATTGTAAAACAGAGCCTGAAATTCCTCGAAGTCTAAGCAAAAATAAAGCTTCCTGTTTTGGGACACCCACTTCCTGACCAGACCAATCCCATTTCACAAGTCCAACCTGCACATTCAGAACACCCTGATCTCTTATGTTCTGCAGAGATCTCCACTTTAAACTCATCTCCTCTTCACAAATGATGCATCATTAAAGTCACATATTACCCTCTGCTTCCCTGCTGTCCATACACTGTATTAGMCTTTAGGAGGTAACTGAGCTTCAGCGACTTAATTGTCATTAAGTTGACACCTGTGACAGGCCGTTATCATCATCGTACTGCCAGAGCACAGATGTTTTCATTGTACTGATTAATTTTGTTTTTAGCTTCAGTAACTGTTTTAGTCCATTAACACTCTTATTTTTCTAAAAAACAAACAAACAAACAAACAAAAAATCTCAATTTTCACTTCATGTTCTGGGTCAACATCCATGTGCAGTTTTAATGTGAGATTCTGAAACAAAGACTGTTAACACCGAGAGACTAGAAACCAGCCTTTAGTAATACTGACAGTCTCAAATAAGAGCAATAAACGTGCATTTTTTTTTACAAAATTTTCTTGGAATTTTTTTCTCGTGCTGTGAAGTCATTTTTTGTTGAAATCCCAGGTAAACGTCTCGTGCTCTAACATGCTCTTTCATGTTAAACCAGCAAACTGTGAAAGCGGAAGGTGGATCCGCCTTAAAAGAACAACAAAATCCTCAACAGCAGTAATAATTTACAAACATTAGAATTGCAAAATAAATTCATGATTTAGTGCGGATGTCAGCGATAGGTAGACGTACTGTACATGCAGGCTGATGTGACAAACTCATGTCTGAAAACTGTGATTTTTTTTTGCCATCAGCAACAAAAATGTCGATATCCTTTCAGCTGAGCCCTAAATTCAAGCTCCGATTTTTTGTGCATCTTAATAGGAGCCCAGCTGAGCGATGAATTTAATGCAGGACTTTGACACAGTTTCTTAGAAATTTGTGGCTCTGGGCTCAAATTAGTTTACTTGCTCCAAAATGTTACAATCTTATGGCCAGAGTGTCAAGAGTAATAACTTCAACACAGCAGTGGTTTGTTTGAATAAAAAAGAATTTCTTATAMAGATGAACACAGCTGGGGCACCCTCTTTTGGGTATTTCACGATTCTTAAGTGAATAAAATGTTGGACTTTAAGACTCATTTTTTAGTTCACAAGCACCGTGTCCTGCAAAGTGTTTGAACAGCCAAACAGCTAATATATATACATATTTTCAAATAGCAAACTGTACACAGAAAACAAAACAAAAAAAATKKATAGGTCTTCTGGACGGGTTCTTCTCTAATGAAACGTTTCGTCTCTCCTCCAAGAGACTTCTTCAGTCTGAGAGTTTCAGGCAAAATTCAGGCTTTTGAGCCCTGCCTCCATGTGACTGATACTCACATCACATGGCTATCGTTGACACCTAATTAACACTTATTGTTAACAGGGGGTGGAGTGATACTGACAAAAGCAGCACTGTAGGAGGGGGACAACTGAAAACGGAGGCCTCCACCTCTGTTTAATGATGGACGGTCTTTCTTCACAAAAATAGCTTCTTTYACTCCTCTCTCAAACCAACGTTCCTCTCTATCAAGAATGAGAACATCCTCATCTCTGAAAGAGTGACCGCTGGCCTGTAAATGAGTGAAAACTGCAGAGTTCTGGCCATTAGATGTAGCTCGTCTGTGTTGGGACATTCTTTTGARCAGTGGCTGCTTTGTTTCCCCGATGTATAACTGGTCACAGTCCTCCTGGCACTTAACAGCATATWCAACATTGCTCTGTTTGTGCCAGGGCACCGGATCTTTGGGGTGAACCAGCCTTTGCTGTAATGTGTTTTGGGGTTTGAAAGCCACTGGGACATCATGTTTAGAAAATAAACGTCTCAGTTTCTCCGAAACACCYGCAACATACGGAATAACCACTGGTTTGGGTCTGGGTTTGGGGTCTTCATTTTCACCTGAAGGTTGCATGGAATCCTGTCTGTGTTTCCTGTCTGCTTTCAGGAAAGCCCAGTCAGGATAACCACACTGCTCCAGGGCCTGTCGTGTGTGTGATTTCTCTTTCTGCCTGGCTCCTGGGTTTGTAGGGACACTGTCTGCTCTGTGGTACAGAGTCCTGATCACTCCTAACTTGTGTTCCAGTGGGTGGTGGGAGTCAAAACGCAAATACTGGTCAGTGTGGGTTGGCTTACGATATACGCCAGTTTCCAACCGTCCTCCATCCGAAACCGAGACATCGCAATCCAGGAACGCCAACCTGCCATTTTTTACATCCTCTCGTGTGAACTTTATATATTCATCCACAGAGTTGATGTGATCAGTGAAATGTTGGACTTCCTGGGCTTTAATTTTAACCCAGGTGTCGTCAACATATCTGAACCAATGGCTCGGTGAYACCCCTGAAAAGGTAGTTGTATTGGTAAGGTAGTCTATTGTACACAGAAAAGAATATTCTGTTGGTCAAATTGTGATTTTTTTCAACACATTTATTTGACTCATATAAAACAACATTTTGCTACAAATAAATGTACATTTACAATAGAAGTGTAGTCTCCAGATGTGGTTTGGTTCTGTGCAAAAGGGTGAAGAAGGCAACCTGGGGAAAAAAGAACAAAAGCATCATTACACACGTGTTAAAATATTAGCATCAAAATAATTTTAGATGGGTGATTCACGCTTGCGTTAGTGAGGTTGTGAAGCCGTCAGAATGCCTGATCTKAGCAGACTGACAGCGAGGACTGTGGAGCTGACAGTCATGGAGCAACGCCACAACAGCATGAACTTTTTTTTTTTTACTTTTTGTATTCTCTGGACAGTTGGAGGAGAAAAAAAAAGCAGGTTCCACATCTGTCTCCTACAAGATATTTCAGAGACTTTGGAGGGGTTTGTGTGTGTGAGAGTGAGTGTGTGGGAGAGACAGATGGGGGAGAAGGGGGGAAGAGATGCTCGAGGCTACTGGGTACTTGAGCCGCTGTAATGGTGTCTCGTATGAGAAAACATCTGTGAATTTCCTCAGTGATCTACAACAAAGTATAACTCAGAGCAGTCACTCAGCAGACCTTTGAAGTTGCTGTCTGACAGAAAGCTGCCATTGTTCGCAGCCCCCCAACACACAGAAACTCCAACTTTGGTCTCACTAATTTTCCCTGCAACGCGATACAACTCTCCCTCCTCTGCACCCCCTCCTGAGCTCTCTCTTCCAAACCTATGAAGGCACAGATCTCTGCATATTCAAGAGCAAACAGCGACGACTTGGCAGTGTGCAGGGTTGGCCGCGGGTCACGGAAGGCGGGGCAGGTCATTTTACCTCCTCTCAGCCCACCCTGGATGCGTTAATCCAACCTTAAAGAGGAAAAGGCTGCCCCCTCTGTGATGATATACAAGGTGCCTGCCTGCAGTGCTCTCTCAGGAGAAATTAGGATAAAAAGACATCACCTTCAAACTGAGACGTCATGGAAAAAAAACAGCTCTCAGACATTCAACTGATGTCAGTGTTTAGGAGCGACTAAGCATACATTTATTACGCATAGAACTTCAAAAATGTGTTTACTCTGCTAGAAATGCTTTGGTTACGTTGCCTCTCCAGAGTGCTGCAGAGAAAAGTCTTATTTATAGGCTTCATAGGACTTTTAGTTAGTGTTACAGCGAGGGACTTTGAGAAAATATTTCTCATCTGTGGCAGTTCAGGCTTGCACATCAGATTATTGACTCACCTTATGAAGGCATAAAGAAGAGAAACACATGCACATATGTAAAAACTAAAAYATTTGTTTGCAGGCTTATCATCCAGAGTCAAATATTTATACAAAATGATGTTTCTTAAAGACTATAATGACAAAAACATCTTGTAGAGTTGAATTATTGATTAAATTAACTTTTATACAGTCAAAGTCACATTTAAAGTTATTGAGAAAGTTTTAGACAAAAAAAGTTTTACACCCTCAGTTTACATTGTTAAATGAGGACAAGTTCAGTTCAGAGCAGTGGTTATGAAAGTTGTGGTTCAGACCCCACTATGGGTCTGGAAAAATTAAGGTGAGGTCTTGAAAGGATTTTCAGGATTAATTACACTTAAAAATGAAGAATAMCTTTTTTTTTGCCTTAGTTGTCACAAAAAAGTGAGGCTACTTAAAAAGGATGAAATTAGCATAATGAATATTGTTACTATGTCCTTGTTTATTTGACTGGATACTAAAGGTGTACGGACAAAAGCTAAAAAGACAAAGCTCACAACCTTAATGAAAAAAAGAGACAAAAGCTCATATTTTTATATTTAAAACATGTTAAAACATGTATGTGAGACCTCAGAGCAGCTCCCACATTCCTTATTCTGACTTGTTCTCACATTCTAACCTTCAACATCTTATATTTTACAAATATATTTKTATTTACTCGAGCAAGAATGAGCAGTTACAGTGTTAGAGAGTTTAAATCTCATGCAATATGCTTACATTTGTAACATGATTTGTTACATGATAATACTTTAGTGATATCAATCTTATGTGTTATTTCTGTGATACAATGTGTGGTTAATAAAACATGTATAATTTGTGAATTGAAGAAAAATGATTGTGTTTCACTGTAGCTGTGTTTCCATAAATGTTTTTTTTATTTTTGCATTTTGAAGTATCCCATTAGAAAAGGTTGAAGGAAACTGCAAATTAAAAGAAAATGGTAAGAAAAGAGTTTTTACGCTCACTTGAGGTGGTTTTTTGATTTTCTGAAGGAGCGTTAATGTGAAAAAGTGGAGATGGAAACACATTTACCTAATGATTGATCAGCTGTGTCTTCCTGGATGTTCTCATRATGCAAAGAGAATTGCATTTCTTTCTCTACATCTCCGGACAGCATGCAGCATCGCCAAAATTAGCTGATATGACAGGATAATTACAACTTGCCCAATAGCAACACATTCCTGAAAACCTCTCAGYTGTCCCAAGATATGTGGTCCCAGTTTACTACAGCCGTGCACAATGTCAATGTCTGACATAATTACACTTTGTGTAGCCTGGTCGATTCGCTCCAAAAACAGATGGAAACATGCTTGATTCACTTTTCTTTTTTGCAACTTGCTTAAAAATAGGATGGAAACATGGTTACTGATTCTTAAATGCACCACACATTTTTGTTTTTTCATTAAGATGTCTGAACTACWTTGTGATAAATCAAATATGTAATTATATACTGTGATAGCAGGTTAGTATTTGGCTAAGCTGAAATGGTGTATGGCCTAATTCATTTGCAATTRAATGTTCAAGYCTARAATCRGAATCTGTCCTTTGGTTTGTTCTTGTCTACTCAGTAAATAAAACATTTTCTCACAAGTTTTGTCTCTTTTTTTTTAGTTTAAGGCTGTGAGCTTTTGTCTTGTGAGCATTTRTCAGGGACTTGATTCAAATGTTTATCAACCCAAAATAGCTGGGMGCACAGGTCTCTGCTTCTGTTATTTTGTGGGTCAAAAGCTGAAAAGTTCGTGAACCAGTGGATTACTGGACTGTGGTTTGCTAGATTTAAGATACTATCAGCCAAAAACGGACCAAAACACAAAGAAAAATGTTATTATGCAGTTCAAAATATTCATCCTACATTATTCATCATATTAATTCTTGTAATTTGTTGTATGCTTTYGTTTAAAACAGAAGTTTTTGCATAAATGAAACTGGTAACCTAATCTGGTTTCACAAAGTATCACCAGATGAAACCATGGACTTGAAGGCTGAGAAAAAACGTTTGTAAAAAAAAAACAAGATCAAAATAGATTTATTTAGTTTTTAGTGGATTGGTATAAATTGAAGTGACGTTTTGCATTTGAAAAATCTACACTTTTTGATATTCATAATAAATTACTCAATTGTTTTCAGGGCTTTATTTGCAAGAGTTATTTATGTCAAAGCAAGACAAGGTAAGAAACATTGATTATTAATTTATAAAACTATAAAAATAAAGTAAAAC